TCTGAGTATTAAAGTATAAATTTCATTTTCTTGGTGGTGATAACCAAGACATTCTTGAAATCATTCGGTGATGATATTTGAGTTTAAAGTTTGAATTTGCACTTTTATTTTTTCGGTGGTGATATCCGAGTATTAAAGCTTGAATTGTATTTTCTTGATGATGATATTCAAGTTTCCTTTGGTGATAATATCCGAAGTTATTTGCATATTCTTAATGGTGATATTTGAGTATTAAAACTCGAATTGTATTTTCTCGATAATGATATTAGAGTTTTCTTCGATGACGATATCCGAAGTCATTTGCATTTTCTCGATGGTGATATCCAAATATTAAAGCTTGAATTGTATTTTCTCGATGGTGATATTCGAGTTTCCTTTGATGGTGATAGTCGAAGTCATTCATATCTTCTCAATGGTGATATCCGAGTGTTAAAGCTTCAATTGCATTTTCTCGATGGTGATTTTTTTATGGTGATATTCGAGTTTTCTTCGATGGTAAAATCCGAAATCATTTGTATATTCTCGGTGATGATATCTGAATGTTAAAAATCATTTGCATTTTCTTTAGTGGCGATATCCGAAGTCATTAACATCTTATCAGTGGTGATATATGAGATTATTTATCCTTCAATGGTGATATTTGAAGTTATTTTTTAATGATTTAATTTATTTTTATTGAGTCTCTGCTTAGAGAAGCTTTTTCAAGATGAAAATTTTAAAGTCGTTGAACTTCTGCTGAGAGAAACTTTTTCAAGATGAGATTTTTAAAGTCGTTGAGCCTCTGCTTAGAGAAGTTTTTTTCAAAATAAAAATTTTTAAAGTTGTTGAGCCTCTACCAAAATGAGCTTTTTTTTTGTCAGATTTTAAATTTTCAAAAGTTGTTAAGCCTTAAGTAAGAGGAGCATTTCAATTTGATGAAAAAAGCCTTCTGATTAGTTTAAATTAAAAAAAAAAGTCTTTTGACCCCGAACAAAATTGATGTTTTTGTCTTTGCACTATTCCTAATTTTCAGCAATGCATAAAGAGGAACAACTGTAAACAACAAATTTTTCCAGGAATTTTAACCCTATTTTTGAGCCGAGACCCAATTTAGACCCAATCGAGCCTGAGGCTTGATTTCAGTATTTAAGGCCCAAAGCTTGCCTTTTTTTTATTTTTTTTTTACATTAATATTAATTTATCAATTTTACATAAAAAAGTAAAAAATATAAATAAAAAAAAAAAACAAAAGGGTTGGTGGCAATGAGTGCCCTGCACAGCACCACTATTGCCCTATTGTTCACTTTTGTTCACCCTTATGTAACCTTGCAAACCCTGTAACACCTGGACCAAAACCCCTGTGCCCCTATTCACCAAAAGCCTATAAAGCATTAGTACCACTCTTGTACACAGACAAACCCGTGCCCGAGACCAAGCCCCATACACCTAGCCCCTCAACACCCATTTTCACCCCCTTCACAAGCCCTTGCTACACCCGATCCTACCTCGCCCAGAAAACCATGCCTACAAACTCGCACCCATTAAACATACACAAAGAAAGAAAACATATTTAGAATCAACAAAAAGACCTACAAAAAAAAAATAAAGCAAAAAAAATTCGACGAGGAACTTAGTGCCAAAGCCTTCCTGTAAAAAAAAAATCAGCTTAGCTTTCAATAAAAAAAAAAAGGTTTGATCTAGGCTGTTTCAGTGATATTAGGCGAAACTAGGCCTAGGTTTGAAAAGAGAGAGGTGAGAGGTGTTTGTGGGTTAATTTTGAGATTTTTCGATGGCTGACGACAACATCGACGATCGATGATCGACAACTAACACGACGGATGACCATCGATCGATCATCTTAGAAAAAGAGAGAGTCTAAAAGAGAGAGAGAGTTAGAGAGAGAAAGAGAATAGAAAAATGAGCTAAAAAAATTTTGAGGATTTTATAAAAAGTTGAAAGCCAAAACGACGTCGTTTTAATTAAATGACTAAAACAGAGTCATTTTAAGCCCAGGATCCACGCTTAACCAATTGACCCGACCCGAGATCCGTACAACTGACTCGATGACTTGGCTCCCCTATGCCTAGATCGATCTAGTTGGACTAAGGTTGGCAACGGGTTAGGTCAGGGCGGGTTTTTACTCACCTTGAACCCGACTCGACTTTATAATCATAAAAATTAAACTCGATTTGACTCGATCTTGTATAAAATCGTACCTTACTCAACCTGAAATTAATAAAATATTATTTTTAAATATAAAATATTATTTTTTAAATATAAATATATAAATATATATAAATAAAAAATTAAAAAATAATTAAAAATATTAATTTTTATAAAATATCGATTCGGGTTGGGTTTTACCCGACTCGATCAGAAATCCGATTTAAAAAAAAAATCGATCCTATGAGGTCGGGTCGAAACTTGTCAGGGGCGGGTTGGGCTGCCAATCTTGAGTTGGACCGGTGCTGAACCGTTGGTCCATTGAACCCCAGATTGTTGAACCGATCCGATCGAATCGGTGTTGACCAGACCATTGACGGGTCCGATTTAGATAATTTTTTTTGAATTTTTTTTATATTATTCTTGTTATTTTAAATTTTATTATTACTATTTCTACATATTAAAAATGTTTATATTTGTTAGAATAAATTTCTATTGAAATGATAAAAATAAATGATGAAGTATATAATTAAAATTTTTATAATTTTGTTAATTTTAAAAATAAACCTTATAAAATGATAATTAAAAAATAATAAAAAAAGTAAGAAAAAAATTTTTATCCGTCAATGAGATTTGTAGGTATTTCGAATAGTGATATCTATGAAATCTCTAGGTGAAAATTTTTTTTAAATACTACCAACGTGTTGGAGTATTTATAAAAAGTTTTCAATATAATAAAAAAATTTCTTTTTCTTACTATAAATTAATAAAAAATAAAAAATAATTAATTTATTAAAAATAAGTAATAAAGAATGGGGAAAAATTTTATCCGATGATGAGATTCTAAAGGTATTCTAAGTAGATATACTTTAAGAAATCTCTAGGTGAGAAGTTTTTTTTAAATATTACTAGTGAATTAAAATATTTATAAAAAAGTCTTCAATATAATAAAAATTTCTCTTTTCTTCAAAGTTTTAAATAAAAAAATTAATAAAAATAAATAAAATTTCTAAAGAGTAAAGTAAAAATGTGTGCATCAACATGTTAGCATTTGTATTGCATACATGATATAGTTTTTTACGAAAAGTGAATTTGAGCCTCCGAGGATGAGATTCTAAGGTATTCCAAGAACGATGCCTAATAAATCTTTAGATGAAAAAGAGTTTTTTCAATGTTACTAATGTACTGGAACTTTTTAAAATCATTTCAATAAAAGGGTAATAGTTTATTTTTCTTGAATAAAATTTGAACAATAATAAAAAAATAAAAAATAAAAAAACAAATAATAAAAAAACAAATTTTCAGTAAACAAAAAAAGTCAAGGAAATTATTTTTTTCTTTTTTCAAATATCGAAACTAAGACTATTTTTATTAAAATCAATGGATAACACGTAGTTAATTTGTACCATTTTAAACGATCGTTGTGAGGATGCTAATCCTTCCCAACGCGTAATCGACTCTTGAACCTAGATTGTTTTGCAAACCCTAAAATTATCTTTATAGTAAATTTTAATTAACCTTGAAATTTTATTAAAAGGATAAATTTTAATAGATGACCAAATCACTTCTAGCCAAAAAAGATTTATAGCGACTCTGTTTTTTATTTTCATTTCTAGATTCATCAGGCGGCTCCAAAACCATTACGACACCAATATAATAACAAATCACCTATTTTAGATAGACTAAATGATCAAACCATCTAAAGGATAAATCCTAAAATTTGAGTTGATTGTAATATTATTAGCAGCAAAAGTTGATAATACATGTTTTGAAATTCTCATACTTATTGTAATTTGTATATTTTTATCCTTTTTGTCTCATGTCAAATATGTGTAAGAAATAAAAAATTATCTTGTTAAATTCATATTAACAAGCCAAACATTTGTTGGTTTTTACCACACTTATATATAATTTTTATTAAAATTTTAAACCATATCATTTTTTTAATCTTTTTCTATATTTTTATTATATCGTGTGTAAAATAGTCTGGTCTAATGTGAACAGAGACACCAAAAATATTGGAGAAGAATTTTATTTTAACACATGTTACAACCACATAGCACAACATCGAGTCTCAAAGTTTTTTCTTGTATGTTTCATTGGGATGGGACTGCATATGGTTTTAAACAACAACTAATAGTATAGCCTAATCTCTCAGCTATAATGCTTATAAGTGCTTGGGTATCAAAAGAAGACTTTAGTTGTTGGAATTGTTGGGATTTTTAAAACATAATGAGATCAACATGAAATAAATTATACGCAATAGGTAATATTGAATGTGGTTTGACTTAATTATCTATATCTACGAATGAGAAAGAAAATATATTATAAACGTAGTGATTACAAAGAGTATAAAATACTATAAACAAACACTAATCTCAAGCCTTTGAAACAATTTTAATTTCCATGCTCCCTAGTATATAACTCATGGAATATCCTTTATCCCATACCATCGGTATTTTTCCAAATAAACTATTTTTCACATCTCAACAAACCTATCTCTCGTATAGATATTTTATAATTCTCTCTTATAATTATAAAAGTTAATACTTACTCTATATTTATAGAGCTTCATTACTTGATTACTAAGAATTCCTATTTACTAAAAACTCTTACCAATTAAGAATATTTATTTTTAATTACCAAGTAATTTTTAATTAATAAAATTTTACTGAAATTCAAATTGATTTTCAATTAGAATTTGAGTCTATATCTAATAAATCTCCACCTGACACAAATTTTATCACAACATTGACCTTCAAGAAATCTTGACTACACATAATCAAATCAGTGTTGACTCTACCTGATTTAAATAAGATAGTTAATACTCATGTGCACCCAACTTCACTCAGTTAACTTCACCTGCAAGTAACGCCTTGTTGCAGCATCTTCTCTTGCATATCTCCAATCTCATGAACATAATTTGCAATAATAAATCCCCTTCCACAACGATGTGGAATAACCTCAATGAGAATCAGGTTGAGTTAGACTTAGATTTCATGGCAATAAAGATGTAGGTGGCCCTGGACCCCTGGTAACTCATAAGAAGTGCCTGATGCAGGAAAAGAATGAAAAAAAAAAAAAAAAGTAAGCTAACGATAATGGCATGCGTTTGCAGAATTTCCAGATTTATGTTTTGATACTTTCAACTATTCATTTCTTGTTGCGAAGCAGAGGCAGATCCATGTCTTAAAGTAATTAAGTGTTTATGGACACATCAAAAAATAGAAAACAAAAATTTTGAAAAAAAAAAATTCTGGATAACCTCAAAATCTTTCATGACACATTGACAGAATTGGTAAATTCATCGGCTATTTTTAATTAAATGATTGTTTAGTTACATGTATTTAAAAAATATATATTTAATAGTATTAATAATTATGTAATTATATTTTTTTAAAATAATATTAGAATTCATCATAAACAATTGTAATAATATAATAATATATTATTTTAAAATTTTAATTACAATTATATATATATTATAAATAAGTGTGAAGATCGCACTTAACCTATCAAATATTATTTATTTTGATATGTAAATTTTTAGAATATTTTGATAAAAAATTAAAGTATCATAAAATGTTTTTCTACAAAAAAAAAATTCTTAAATCCAACGTTGCTATAAACACTGTTTGTTTGAGTTGCAAAGATCCATTGTTACCATGGGACCTAGACAGGACCCGCGACCTTTTTGCCAGCATCTGCACCATTGGCTCACCCTTTCTACTCTGATCGTCGAGAGTTGTGTTGCGCTGGAAAACGCTATGAAGTTTGGGTGCAAAAGGGAAATTCCAATCTGGAAAAACCCATGAGCAACATAAAAAATTAGCAGCAATTATGCATTACTAGTATTAATAAACTCATTTCATTTCCAATATGTTTTCAATAAGTTAGGCAAGTGATCATGCATGAACCAAGATGGATGATCCACTTTGTATGACAGAAAATCATACTCCACTTTTTAGATGTGAGTGCATTATATTATATGGCAATCTTGACCAAATCTAAAGGCACTAAGAACAAAAGATTGAGCACATGAATTATTCCATTGTTAATTACTTTAATTTTTATTTACAGAAGAAATCATAATTTGAGATAGGAGAATAAGCTTCAGATATTAAAATTTAAAATTTAAATTTATTTAGTGTTATCTTTTAAAGATGATTGTATAAATTAATTAAATTAAACTTCGAATTTATAAATATAATTACTGAACAATGAAACCAACAAATTACTTTTTCTCACACGTCTTCCCAATAATGCAAGGAACTAATGTCATAGAACCGGCTTGATGGCACAATAATTTCAGACATGAAGCTTTTATCTTACTATCCTTTGTCACCTTGGGGAGAAGGCCAGAGTTTTTGCCTTCAAAAATGGCAAAAACTTTTTATTGATTTAATAAACATTTTATATGTTTAATGTTAAAATCATTTAACTTAAAATTAATTAATAATAAACGAAAGAATTCTACTTAAATAAAAAATTATAAAAAATTAGATATTTATTAAATATAAAATATTTGCTTTAACACTTAACTGCCCCAAAATCATGGTACCAACTCAAAAAAATATGGAAACAACAAACCCTCGAGCTTTGATGTCAGAAGAACAAGAGTTATGTGCAAGGAGACAGTTGTCACGCATCTATAAATATATATTGAAAGAGATATAGGACCCTTTAAAGTTAGAGTTTCACTCAATTAATTAACGTAATTATTCTTTAAAAATGATATTTAATAAGTAAAAATTTGAATCTCATTATTTATAATCACTTCCTTTATTCTCGAGTCGAAACCTCCTTTCCAAAAAAAAAAAAATGACCCCATTTTATAATTGCCCTGAAGGACCAACTAGACTGGCTTACGTCGAGAGACCCCAGAAAAGAAACAAAAACTGCCCCAGAGAAGAAACAAGAAACTTCATTTGGCTTTATGTACGTTGTCGACTTTAACGTTTTTGTGGTCTATAATGGAGAATGACCCTTGGGGCTAGACACCAAATTTCATTATGATTTTTCTTTCTATTAGGCAATCATATAATCAACGTCATGACGACGACATAGATGACAATTTCCGATTCAATATCAAAATGACACTTCATTCGAAGAAAAATATAAAAAAACATATATATATATATATTTTTCATGAAGATTGAAAATAAAAATACCCAAAAAGCTAATAGAGTGAAATAAAAAAAAACAAAATTGTAATATTACGAATAAGTGAGAAATTGGACGGTAGATATAATGGACAACAGGGCTGGCTGACAACAAAATTGCAAGAATCCAAGCATATATCAGAGAGATAGGGCAGAGGAACCTTCATAGAAAGCCAACACTGGACAATTTAGGCAATAACTTCTGTCAAAAGGATTGTATTTATCTACTGGATCCCCTATCCCCCACATATGCACCTTCCTTGAAACCATTTAGAATAAAATTGTTGATATAATTCTTGAAGATAGAAGACTTTGGAGGAGATTGAGTTGGAGAGCGTGACAAGTCTAAAAAAGAAGATCAGAGAGTGTTAGAGATAGTGTTTTGAGATGCATTCTGACGTTTAATTCAATAAGGTGTATAAGAAAAAAAAATAAAAAGAAAAAGATAATGAGAGAGAAAGCAGAGAAAATATAAATTAAAGGATGTTGCATTCTTAATTTGATTCTTCCTTTCTATATTTGATGAATGATGAGAGGTGATTAGCTTTGAGATTACGTGTAAATGTTGATGTGACTGTCAAAATATTGATTAATTGATCAGTAAAATATAACAAAAATATAATAAAAAAATTATTTTGATACCAATTAGCACTAAATAAAGTGGTTAAACCACTATAAAATAGGCTAAAAAAAATCGTCTCATCAATATGAATCAGACCGTCCATTTTTATAAGGTGAGTTATGAGATCAATCTTAGACACTTTGACTATTGCACTCCTCAATAATGCTCGTAGAGATTTTATTTAGATTTTATAATTTTAAATACGAAATAAAGATATGATATAAAAATAATATAATTTAAAATTTTAATAAAAATTTTATATAAATTTGTAAAAATAAAAAATGTGTCATATTATTATATTAACAAAAATTATAACATAATAATTTTTATATTTTATACATATTTATTCAATATAAAATAAATACAATATAAATAAATGAATTGTTAAATCTAGCTTTGCGAGCCTTTATATAACCCGCTCCCTCACTATTGGTTTTTTGTTGGACCAGGAAAAGCTTCTTTCAGCAACCCTTCAAGATGGAAAAGGAGAGGATTAATGGAAGAAAGACAACAACAACAACAAGAAGTGAGTACCAGGATTTGTTACCTGTGATGGCGGAAAAGCTGGATGTGGAAGCTTTTGTGTCTGAAATATGTGGAGGGTTTCGGCTTCTAGCTGACCAGCAAAAAGGGTTGATAACGCCAGAGAGTCTGAGGAGAAATTGTGCACTTTTAGGCATGGATGGTATGAGCAAAGAGGAAGCCGAAGCGATGGTTAGAGAAGGTGATATTGACGAAGATGGAGCACTCAACCAGACTGAGTTCTGCATCCTGATGGTGAGGCTTAGCCCTGGAATGATGGAGGATGCTGAGACTTGGCTTCAGAAGGCCATTGATCAAGAGCTAGGGAAATCCTCAGCTTGATCCTTTGTGTGTTCGTATTTAGTGCATCAAGATATTATATTCATCTTATTGTACTGCAAGGTTTATTGTTAATAAAAATAATTATGATCCATTTGATGGTTTGTTAGAGTCCGTACCATATACTCGATTCAAACTTGCAGGCAAGTCTCATAAAAATCACGTTCTTGATCACACGTGCAAATCATAGAATCGGATTATGCGGTTTGAGATATATAGATATTTTTTTATCTCATGGAGTTGTATTGGTTTTGAATTTTCTAGGTTTGGATTTTTTTTTTAATTCAAAATTTTCTGAGTTCAAATTTTTTGCATTTTAATCTTTTTTTATCAATTTGGGTTAATTCAATTCGGTCGCGAGCCAACTCGAATGAACCAGCTCGATGGAATCTATTTACCATAGAACTTGGGCATCCTGATGAAATCAGAAGACTTCTTATAGAAAACCATGGGCTTCACAAATCCACAAAAACAGGGAACCCTTCCGGTCCTCCAGGATGATTTCTCAATCCTAATATTTGAAAATAATTGGGAATATAAAATCTTGCAAGAAATCATAAATCAATTAAATTGCAACAGAAGATATTAGGGAAGTAACCAGCAAACGCCATTTTTACGAAAACAACTACATATATTAACACGAATAAAAGGTTCTTGACAGCTAACCAAAATAATCCGCCCATAAATTCCAACTGAGACTGAACTGAAAATCACAACCTGAGTATTAATTGTAGTTTGACGTAAGAATCTCCCAACAAAAGAGTACAATGGGAAAGAGGAGAAAAAAGCTACGAAACACAAACTCAACCAGGCAGAGAAAGACAAAATACGTGAGGACCCAGGCGTTGAACAAGTTTTTCCCTATGAATCTGACAGCCATTCATGTATGGGACCTTCGAGCAGGTGATCGGCTGCTAATTCAATGATCAGTAAGGACCCATGTTTGACTAGCAAAACAAACTAAACGAAAAAGAGATTAAAGAACCAGCAAGCAACAATAAATGGCTCTAATCGCTACCTGCGATATCTGCCATGCTCAGGACTCCTTTGCCTCCCATACTCAGGACTCTTGTGCCTGTCATAAGCAGGACCATTATAGCGATCATAAACAGGACTCCGAGCCCTGCCATAATCAGGACTTGGTCGCCTGCGATATGCAGGACTTGGCGACCTCTTATATGGACTAGCACCACGTCTACCATCACCAACTCTTCTAGGACTATCATATCTGCCATCCCTCTCATCATCATCCCTTAAAGCATATTCAACAGACACAACTCTGTCCAGTAACTTGCTGTAAAGGCACAACATAGTACTTTAGAAGCAATACCATCCAGCCATGAAATCAATAAGAAAGCAAGTATATTTCTACCTCCTTTGTGTAGCCTCGAGGGCTTTGCTAGCATCCTCTTGTGTTGCAAACTGTACAAATGCAAAGTTCCGCCTAATGCGAACATGAAGAACCTTCCCATATGGCTCAAAGTGCCTTAGTATATCTCGTTCCCTTGTACGAATAGGATCAAAGTTGATAACAAACAAGGTTTTGGTGGGCCTTTGATTTGTTACTGATCTAGAACCATCACGATGCCGACCGCGTTCACCCTGACAATAAAATTATCCTTACAATCAGAAATTATTGATTTCATACCCATTAAAACTCAAAACCAGAAACTGCAGAAAGGAGTAACTCAGCAAGAACAATAACACACTTTAGCCCACTCCACGGACAGTCGCCGCCGATCATACCCAAAAGGAATATTATCAAGTCCACGAATAGCGTCTTCGGCATCACGTTCATCCTCAAAATAAACAAAAGCAAACCCTGCAATATAAACGGAAATCAGAGGCAGAAATGAAAGTTTGTCCAATTGGTGCTATACCCACACAACTACAGGTACATCAGCCAAATCACAGGATTTCTTTTCCCTGCAAGAACTAAGAAAAATATACGACACCTGCACATATGTGAAGGAAAGGCTGATGCACATAAGGATGAAGAAGCGTTGCATGATGAACTAAATCAAGATGGTGGCATGTTAAAGGTTAAAATCCAAGTTTTCAGGGTCTGAGACATCATTGCAAAGCATGCTTCGCCATTCAGACAGCAGGAGTTCAGAAATGAGGCATGACATGATAGATTTCAGTGATCCTCTATAGTCAAAGGTAGTAGGCATGACATGATAATTTGACAGGCCCCCACCAGCAAGTGAGGAGGGTGACTAACATGATTGAGTAAAGAATATGCAGGATGGTGCCATCTGTGAGTGGGAGGAGAGCAGGCGGGCAGGAATATTTCCATTGCAATAGAATTTTTTTGCAGAAAGTTGACGAACCCGGATAGAAGCTCATTTTTCCCTAGTAGAAGTTCCTGCGTCAAAACAAACACTTAATATGGAGGTTTTCTCCAGTAAATTGAAAACCCGTGGATAACATTTTAATTTCTCCCGGAAAGTGTGATTAGATATACGGACCCCTGTAGATGTTGTATATCTGACATCCAATTTCGAAACAAGGTAAATGCCCATTTAACAATTTTTGTTCATTCAAAAATCAATGCCACATGCATCCTCGAGCCAGGATATATGCAGCACAACTACTTAATAAATCACTCCTGATATTCCCCTCATTATACTCGCTTCAAGTCAGTTAAGGCATTATTAAAGAAAAGATATGACATAGGATAACAAGATGCTCAGCTGGCAGGCAAAAAGGCAAAGAACAAAATTAGTACGTAAATTGTTCTTATTTTCAGATGAAAAAAGAGATAAATAAAAAGTTAGCCATAGCCACGTGAAGGGCGAAGCAAACCAAAAGAGTAACTCCATTAGGGTATTTGTTATAAGAGAAACTCCATTGAAGTTAAGTGGGAAAAAAAATGACGAGACGCCACCATTTCCTAATGATCCAGAACGATTAGAAAAACCATGATATTAAACTCCCTTATCAACTAAAATAATGAAAATAGTAATAAATGCACTACACTTCAGTCAACTATGAACAAAATATAAACGCGAAGATTCACCGAACCACACACAAAAAAAATGAATTTTAGATTCAGAAAGGCTTCAACTCAGTGAGCCCACCATCTAACAAAAAGCAATAACAAATTCAATCAGCTAATAACACTAAACTAAAATCCAAACAGGGCACATTCATTGCTTTTATAGTCATGGGAATCGATATTTTACCAGATTTCATGTCAACCCGCTCGATCCTCCCGTACTTTGAAAACAAACGCTCCAGCTCTGACTGTCGAGTCTCGAACTCGAAGTTCCCCACAAAAACAGGCCTCATTTCCCCCAAAAGTTTGCACCTTTATCCTCCAACAGAAACCTAAACCAAAGCAAAACCACTAAACAAAATTATGCAACCCTAGAATTAACATACAATGGCAGTGATTAGTTGCGTTTTCCTTCGTTTTACAGGGAGACAAAGAGAGTAGACGAGAAAATTGAATAAATCGTCTGAGAGTACCTTGCGAAATTGCGATTAAACCTCAATTGAAAACCCTAGAAGAGAGAGAAAGCGTGTTTGGGGGTTTGGGTGAAAGAAAATTTGAGAGGATATAATGCCAAACAAAGCCCCAAAAAAGTCGAGAAGCTGACGCTGGCATGGGCATTTTTGTCCGTTCGATTGGTACTTCTTCCAGCGTGACACAATATTATCCGTTGGATTTTTAAGGGCGCAACTTCCTTGAGTTTTATTGAAGCTCTGAGCGGGCCAAAAATACTGACTATGACTTGGCCCATCTGAGTGTGGATCATTGGGCTCAAAGTAGAGAAGCAACCCTAATCTAAATGGACCAAACTAGGTCGGTTCACGGATCGGGTCTTGGACAAGGATTTTCAACTCTGAAACATTAAATTATGTATAAATTTTTTTTAACTTAATTTTGATTCGAAATTTTAAAATGTTGATATTTTAAATTTTATATATATTTTTTGAAAAATTTGGACCTTTTGGATTGGATCAAACCTTTAGAATATTAATCGATCCTGACTTGACTTGTCCCAATCTATGAAAAAATTTAGATCATATTTCTTTTTTTTTTTGGTTATTTTTTAATTACTCCTTGAAAAGGATTTAAATTGATTCTTTAGACAAATCTAAAAGAAATAGTTAATCAGGAAAAATTTTCTTTTATTTTTAAGATTTCAAATTCAAATTTGAACATCAATCACTCACATAATACAAAATGTAAATTAACCTAGCCAAGTTTTTTCTTGCTTGAGCTTGGCATAACTAAATTTTAATGAACTCAGAATAATTACTGAATATTCAATTCTTTATAGCTTTACAGTTAATTATATTATTAATACTTTTGAATTTGTTCAATTTAATGATGTTTAGTTCATAAAAATATAAGGGAAAAGAAATTTTCCATTATTAGTAATGTTATTTTATAAAATGAATTTATTAAAACCCTATTTAGTCCATAAAAAACATAAGGGAAATGAAAATAAATTTCATGAAAATTTGCAATATTAATTTAATGGATAGGAGAAAATATTTGAGGATTATATTATCCTCATATGTCCTAAACCCTAGCCTCCATTCCTCCCAATAAGAAAATTTCACCTATTGATTTTGAACAATGTACTATCAAGGACAACAACAAAACAAGTTTACTTAAATTTAGTAGTGGCATGTTTAACCTAGAAAAGCCAAAGATTTGCTTTCTATCTTTGCTTTTGTTGTTCAAATTAAAGAATTAACAAATCAATAATTACGTGATTTATTAGTTGAAGGTTAAATTTTTGGTTTTGATTATTAAAATTTTTATTTTGATAACCTCAAAAAAAATTAAAAGATTAATATGAAAAATGTTTGGCCTTTGAAGTACAAAATAATTAAACCTTAACTCACAAAATCAAGTCAAACATGATTAATTAGAAAAAAAAAAAAAAAAAAAAGCCCTCACATGTCACCAAAATTTCATTTGAGAGCGCGATAGAAGGGTTCCCATTGTTTCGAGTGTGCGTTTATGGTCGGACCCTTAAGGGTCCAATCACAAAATACTTTAATTGGGTTCCTAAGTAAGGGAGTAATTAGGGGTCGAACCATAAAACAATATAATTGGGCTTTCAAAGAGAGGTGTTTATCAAATTGATACAATAAAAAATTTGAATTTAACTAAAAATTTATTATTTGAAATTTGGTTTAAATTTAATTGAATTTTAATTTTTAAATCTAAATTTAACTTAAAATAAAATTTAAATTACTCAAACTTGATCGATTAAATTTTTTTACCAAATAAAAAATGAATTTAACTATATGTTCAATTCAATTATTTGTATTTGAATTGAGCTTAAGCTTGTTAATAAAAAACTCCAATTGAGTTGTTCAGCACCAACAAATTTTAATAATTGTTAATAAGGAAAAAGTAAAGATTATATATAGAATACTTATTCTTCTACTATTATTGTCATTTTCTTTTTCCAAGAGAGGTCCGGATTTGGTGCATGGGCTGCGAGAACAAAGCATTCAAGTTGCTTTAGGTGTATATTAAACGAAACTATATTGATAAAAAAAAAAAAAAGAAAGTACTTTCTCGAATCAAATCTTCAGGGTGAGAAGGAATATGAGTCTAAAAGTTTTCTGCTTTAATTTTTTGTTTAATCAACTGAGTTGGTTGCACTTTGTAAATGCACCCACCAGCACTGACGAAAGACATATCTAGCTGGAGTAATTCTAGTAATTTTAAACACTAAATAGTAATACAACACGAAAAAAAAAAAAGTAAAAATTATATTTTGTATTTAGTGTATAGATATAAATTATGACATAATAATTTTTATATTTTATGTGTTACACATAAAATAAATATTTATAAATATACAAATTATTAGATTTATCTAATGATGTTTGAGTAAAGAACGCATCCTTCCTTTAGGTAACTTTTTTTTAATCAACAATGTGATGGCTTCTAGATTTTTCAATCAAAATTTTGGTCTAAAATCTTGAAATATGTATGCAATTTCAGTTGACTATGAATATTATAGTTTTGCTGCTTTGAGATTGAGTGAAACATGGAGCTTTAACTTGATATGATTCCCATTTATTTGGGCAGAGAAATTGACATTACAGAAATTTCCCATTTTAACAAATATGAATATTGATAGATACAGAAAACAGGGCAAAGTGAGTTGGGAGTTTTTTAATGGATAATTTCAGAGGCATCAAATCTAGATGTAGGTCCCAAATTTGCTTCTCAATGCCTACTGTGTTCAACTTTGCTCAGTCAAAACCCGAGCAATGGCAATGGAAACGTGATCCATCAACAATTTGTGCACCATGGCCAAAAGAATCCATATACGTGACTCTTGAAAGGACCTTGGATTCCAAGCTGAACATATTCCTTCATCATTTAAAAGATCCAAAATTGGAAAAAAAAAAAGATGAAGATAAAAGAAGGGAAAATCATTCAATTTCGTTCATATAATCATTTTTAAGAAAAACACATATAAAAAGTTTAGATTTTAAATTTTAATATTTATAGTATTTTTAAATTTCCAGACCATGATCTCTCGTGTACAAAGAATAATAATCAAGAATCTTTAGACTTTCCCCGACCCCACCATGGCTAGTCAGAAGGGAATTTCACCATTACATTTAGGTATCAAATCCAATTATCTTTCACAGTGGGTTAGGCCTTAACTATCCCACTAATATATAGAATTTTTATGCAACTTGCTAATATTAAAATCTAGAAAATGGGTTCTTCTCCATTCATTTGTTGCTGTTGTTAGTGTTCTCTCATTGTCTGATCCAGCAAAAAGGATTGGTGCTGAATTCAATATATTCGTAGTTTAAGTACACTTGCTTTTGATTTCTATGGACTGAATGTTTAAACCTTTCCTCCCTTTTTTTTCATGACTTACTACAGGAGACATTTATGCTTGTTCTTTGTCAAAAGATGATGTAAAAATGAAAGCATAGTTTCAAGTCTGACTTAGTACTGAGTTCGTATAAAATCTCTCTCTCTCTCTCTCTATATATATATATATATATTTATATTTATATCTTTTAAGAGTGATTATATAAACCAATTGAATTAAATTACGGGTTTCAATTATATTATCTTTTTTCATTCGAAGGTGGCAATTTGAGAATAGTGAAAGGAGTTGTATATACTAAAATTCGAACTTTAGACTTATTAGATATTACATATGGAGAATGATTATTGAACCAATTAAACTAAACTTGAATTTCTTCAATTACATCGTCTTTAACACATATATACACACACACATATATATATATTCGATAAGGAATTGTAATTAGAAAAAGAAAATGAAAGTTCAAACACTGTGTTAATTAATTGGCTTGCAACTTGATAGTATATGATAATTCGGGTATTTGTATCGTGACTATTTTATATTAAATAGATATAAAATATAAAAATTATCGTGTTACAATTTATGTCGATATATAAAAACAAAACACATTTTTTTTATCAAATCTATATAGATTTGTGTCAAAATTAATTTTAAACTGTCACTTTCATACATTTTTTCATATATTTTCGTGTGATATTTAAAATTATCATGGAATTTGTTTCTTGAGAATATTCTTTGATCATTACTAATACTATGACATAAAAACATAACAACAATTTGTAGGTTAAGTATATATATAAAAATCATAATAAACAAAAACTTAACTTGTTTAAATGAAAAAGTTGGAACTTATGATATAACAATTAACAAGTTTGTAATTCAAATTTTAATATTTGCAATCCCTTCATCTATTTTTAAATTGCGGGCGACTTATATTTCCTAGCATTTCAGGTAATTTGTCTGTCTCTCCATGACAGCAGTGGCTTCGAAAGCCCGCCAGACAATGGCATCTTGGTAAAGATTCGGAGTTTGCCTGATTTGTTGATCACACACAAAATAAAGATACATGTTCTTGGTGTTGTCTTTGTGAGGTTTTTGGCAGAGACTAAAATCAAAACTAATTACAGTGAGACCATGAGGAAGCTTCTTTGAAGCTTGTTTTTGTTTAATTTTTCTCTCCTATAAGGGCAACAAGAAGAATAGGTATATATGATTTAGTTATGGTCTTCACTTTAATATATTCAAAGGTGCTTTGGTGGGAGATATGAAGCTTTCTTTTCTGATTTAGAATTGTGCTTCCCCTTAATCATGCTTAAAAAGTATATATATATATATATATATATATTTCTTTTGGATATATAATTAAAATATATATTCCCATTGTTTAAGGTTCTTTTATTTAATTTTCAAAACTACAAAGTACACAACTTGCTTAACATTGAGATATATTCCCATATTTAATTTTCGAAGCTACAAAGTACACAACTTGCTTGATATAGAGATATATTCCCATGTTTAAGGTTCTTTTATTTATTTTTCAAAGCTACAAAGTACAAAACTTGCTTAATTACATGGAGGCTATATTAGCGAGCTATATAAATATACATGTATAATTAATTTGTGGAGGTGTTTTTAGCTTGGTATTATAGACACCTTAATTTGTTTGAGGTTGTAATTATCTTGGTTTTTAAATGTAAAAAAAAAAAAATTAGGAAATGTTCGAAGGTGGTTAAATTGGTCTAAGA